AAATTTATATTGAAAGTTTTTGAAACCCTGCCGGGTCTAGTTTTATGTTTCGAAGTTCCCAAAATTCTCTCAAAGTTCTCTCAGTCAAAGCCGGGTAAAGGCCGCGGTATCTCAAACTTTCAAAATTCAATGTGAATTTCCATCTGGGACGCTGGCCCCGGTTCCGAGCACGTGTTGCTCCCTACGAATAGATTGGAACATTGTCCCAAAAAAAAAAAAAGAAAAAAAAAAAAGAAAAAAAAAAAAGAAGTTTCGAAGTTCTTGTTTGTTATATTTGTCATTTTATGTTTCTGTTCTACTTGGATGAGAAAGTTGTCATGGCAATGCTTGTTTTCATTGTTTCGTACAAGGGGCATCATGTATGCGAAGGGAGATTGGATGTAGAATAGCTCATGCATAAAACATGTTCTTAATGTCGTCGCATCTCGAAATTGCATTCACTCCCTGCTTGACGACAGTCACACACACACACACACACACACACACACACAACCACGATTATGTGATGCATACACATCATGCTGCCATGTGCCATGGAAAAAGATGCCCAATAGCGAAATATTTTTGACACATTGTGTGATTTGAACATGAACATAACAATGATAACACGTTTTGCAACAGGGGTTGAATGAACAATGGTGGTCATAAAAAAACACATGCGGAGAACAAAACTTTACATTACCACATGGGGGCCAACCCCACCGCTGTGGAGAAGGCCGTTCTTTACAGAGACAACCTAACGGTGAGACGATGAATTAGAAAACGGACCGACCAAGCCGCCTACAGAGGTATTAAGAACTTGCAAACGAAACATAACAACAAAACAGAAACATTGATAACACACCCTACTCAACAAAACTACGACGAACTGTTTCAAAACATGAAGGACACCCGTAGCTCCGGGGATCTCATTTTCGAACAATGAGCACGATGACACATGACTCTGCCCTTCTGTCAATCCAGACTTGTGGGCACTCCCCCCCCCTTCCCCCCCCCTTCCCCCCCCTCTGTGCACGATGTCCAGAAGCGTTATGAACCAGAGGAAGGACGTCGCTACTTGCATGTCATCCGGTCTGCCATTGTGTCCCTTGGAATGAGCGCATCGCCTGAGGATTTATCCATGCGCACTGGCCATAGGTGTCGCTGAATCTCGAGGTCCACGCGGCGTCACACTCTGTTGGCCTCCACCTCCACAAAATGGAATGCCGGGATGTTGTGGAGAATTCAAACGACAACACACTGCTGCGGCAACAACTCCATATTCATCTTGTGCGTACACAAAAACCTCTGCATACCCTTCACCCAGCCGAGAACCCTTATCCTCAACCCCTCTCGCCACCTCCTTGCTGTCGAACGCTCCTCCACAGGGTGGTGACCAATTCTCCATATGGAACAACTTTCAATTCTGAAGGAGGATAGCCATTGTTGCCCGACAAGTACCCATTTGTTTGCAATTGGAAGGGGCGCATCATTGGTGGCCCCGTGAAACAATTGCCAGCCTCCTCTCACGCTCACGAACTTGACAGCTGGATCACCCTGAGGTCGTGGCAACTTCGTGGGTACCCCATGTGAATGTCTGACACACTCAAATTCAAATTGATGACTACCTGCGCGACAACAGAGAAATGATGTTTACGATCCTAGTAGTCCTCGCTGAGGATGTTCACCGGCTTTTCGATGTAGATATGAGTATAGTCGATAGACTTGTGGCCGTTCAGGAATCCTTTGTCAGTGAATGCTTGAAGGATGACCCGCTTGCGCATTCATGTCGACCACGATATATCTTCCCAGGACACCGTCAGCAGCACCGCTGTTACGTCCCGTATCGCCACAAAATCAGAAGCTCCCCCGATCCCGAAGTTGCATATACTCCTTTCATACGCCTCCCCCAATGACCGTCTCTATAACACAAAGCTTCAACTATCTTCCTAAACACACGGCGCGATGTATGAAGCATTTCCCGTTTGTACTACTCTGTTGCGTCGTCGCATAGCCCGAGATCCTCCCATGCCCCAACCGTCCTCCTTTTCATCCACCACCTTGGCATTGCTCGTGGAAGAACATGGCAACCCATGGCACAGCGAACCCGGTGATGGTGACGGTATCCAGCCCTTCTACCGGGATTTCATGAGCGGTCTTCCTCCTCCGTCCGCGGATCTGCGCTCTCATTCGGCCCAATGCCCTCTCCTGGTGACAACAAAAGAGCACGGCTGTCACGGCCGCCACAACAGTCGACTTCCCAATCGTTGTCGACTTCACATGTCCGTTGTCATCGTTGAACTCCATCGCCACGCATGCTGCGAAGGTACTTAACAACCGTCTACAAACGCCTACGAACGGAGGATGACCATGATAACCTCAGTGCGGCGTCGTGCACGGCGTTTCCCGCCTGTGCTCGACTGTACACATACGTGTGGCAGCAGGAGGAGGCGATGGCGATGGACCTTCGCAGGGCGCTCACGAGATTGTACACGACGAACGACGACCCTACTACGCCACTGCAAATGCCTGTTTCCACCGTTCGCCAGTATCGTCCCATCTGCCCAACGTCGCCATCGTCATGTCCAGCACCCAATTCGAGATTTGAATTTCGAACTGGGAGGACCATTGGCTTCTCTGTTTTTCTTTTTTTTTCGGTCGCTAGCGCTTGTCAAATTTTCCTGCCTTCTGCAGCTGGACCACACCATCCCGAGATGGACATCACCCAAAGAACCAAGGGATGCAACCCAGGGGCGGCCAACTATAATGCAAAGAACCTCCCAGTTCAACACCAACGAGTGCACGCATTCACACCTCTTGCATGCATGAGGTCACACAAAGTTCACACTGAAGACCAGAGAGATTTAGACCAGATAGCGCAACTTGAGAATTCCAACAAGTTATACAAGAGCAATAAGAGTTCCAAGTCACCAGCGCTCGTCAGCGCATGTCAAAGGTAACCAATACCCAGCACAAACTCTCAGGTAAGTATCTTCTTCCTCTCTGCTCTTCTCTCTCTATTGTATCACCCCCCCTTGCTGGTCTTCTCCCTACCTTATGACCTCGCTGTATCTTCTCTCCCTACATGCATACACACTCATACTAATTTCTACTCAAAGATCTACTCTAAATACACCCACTGTCAACTCTACTAACCCCGCTGGAGTCTACTACTAACTACTAGCACTAACACTTCTGCACTGGCGCAGCTATGGCTGCCTTCTTCCTGCCAACGCTACCTTCTCCTCTCCCCCTCACTTAGCGTAGCACTCTGGCGTCAGTGCTCTACGAATTTCAATATGACCCCGAGGCAAAAGTGTTTCAGTTTATTTTTCTGCATAACATTTTAGTTTTTCAGATTTTTTTGAATTTTTTTTTTGCTTTTTTTCCGTTCGTACGGCCCATACGACCATATGAGCCCGTATGTACGTACGTACGGCCCGTATTCGTACGGGGGTCTACACAGGTGTGATGTGTCTCTTCAATATGACTTTTCATTAGGAAACATGACTCCTGTCTTGAGACATGACTCTTGCTTGGTGAATGTGCCTTTCCACTCGTGGAATGTGACTCTTCTGGACGGCTTTTATTAGGAGAGTCTGACGTGACTCTTGTCCCTGAGACGTGACTGTTTGTTGGGTGCCTGTTGGATCAGACTGCTGAGCTATGTGTCCGAAATTCGATTCAACGAGGGTTTCCCATTGAAAGGTTCAACGGTCGTTGAACCCCTGTTACAACGCCGCTCTATACCGCGTTAGAACGCGGTACAACGTGGCCCGCTTTTCTTTTTTTCGCAGGCAAAAAAAAAGAAGAAAAAAAAGGGGTGTAGATTTTTTTGTCCTCTACATCCCCATATATATATATATATATATATATATTTAACATTAAAATTGTTTTAAAAAAATCAAAAACCTAACCAGACTCAAAACACATCGATGCTCTCAGTTTCGTGCTCTAAGTTCGTGCTCAAGGCCCGGGGGGGCACGGCGGTTGGCACGTTTCGTGCTCTAAGTTCGTGCTTCGAGGTAGTACTGGATGAGTCAGTGTCGGGTAGCCACCATCATGATGACCTCGGCGTTTCGTCGTCTTCGTGCTCGGCAAGTTCCAGAGCCATCTCCGAGAGGAGGAAGCCGTTCGGACTCACCCCGTTTAGCTTGTCTTCTTTCCTACCAAGAGCGTGCATATTCATATTATCGGAAGTGGTTAAGAGTGTGTGCAATCATAAGTAGGTGTGCGGGCGTGCGCCGGATAGGCGTCCGTCAGTGAAGCGCTGGTGTAACTCAAGGTCTTAAGCTTAGATCTAAGCTAAGGGCGAAAACGGCTTCCGATGGCGTCGCAAGATCAGGGTGCTCAAGGACGAGTCGAGAGCCAACAGCACAGTAGAGGGAGATAGCCGCCAGGTAACTCTCCAGTACCACTTTCCGACGAGGACCGCATGAGGTTACTAATCGCCAAGTGCTATGATGATGGAATTTTGCCGGAGAAGTTCAGCCATGGGGAGTGGATGGTAGAGGAGGGTGTCAGGGTGTTTGTGGTCAACCACAGGCTAGATGCCCTCATGACCGAGTGGCTTAAGGATCGTACTGTGACCATTATTTTTCAGGGAGCAGCCAGGGACTTGCCACTGAGAACGAGGGAGGACCTCATCAGGGAGATTTAAAATAGTTGGCAACGAGACAGGAACTTCAACCAGAACACCTGGAGAGGACGAATCCATGCGGAGGGACCGAACGTCGTCTCGTATGTGGCGAAGTCAAGGGAGGTGGCGCAGTGGTTGGTTGCAAAAGCGGAGGATAAGGTCATCATTCGAGGTAAAGAATACGGCATGCTATTCAAGCCATGGCTAACCGGAACGGAGCTCGAAGGGCGAAGAAGGTTGGACGACGAAACTAAATTTTGGGTTATGGCGCTTCGAGTTCCTTTCCGGGCGATATTCCACGTGGAGAGCATGTTGGAGTCTCCGATGGGGCATGTCATCAAGAGTATCGCGACAAACCCAAGCTGATGAACCTCAAGTTCGAACTAGTGAAAGAAGCAGAAGGAAACTTCGAACCCCAGCTTCCGATAAGATTGGGCTCTGAAACAATTCAAATTAAATTCGTGTGTAAACACACACCTTGGTGTACCAGGTGCAGGTGGTGGTTTCATACGGCCGATGAAGGCTGCCCGAGAGCTGAGGAGGTTGCCGAAGGGCAAGGAGAGAGCAGATCACGCCGGATGGAGCAGGCCGGATCACGCCCTCGTCAAGTGATGGAAAGAAGGCAATCACGCCAAGCGGCTACACAGGATCACTCATCTGATGCCGGCAGAAGAAGTGGAAGTCAAGCTCAGAGCTCAGCCCCGATCAAAAGACCCCAACCAAGCTTGGCTAACCTCCCAGTGGGAAATTGGCGCAGCTCTGGTTTACCCAGAACGAGAGGAGAGGCGAGTACTAGCCAGAGAGCTCTAGTGTCGAGAGCATCCCAGGAAGAGCAACTTCTTCAACCCCGAAGAGGGGCTTTCAAACCTTACTCTTCACAATGGAGTCACGCAGCATGGCATCACCAGACGGGCGGTGCACAAAACCAGGGCCTAAGTTCTCAACCTGCGTTGTTCCGACAAAGCACTGGAGCAGAGGGGGGAGCAGCACGAGGTAAGATGTATGTTGATGACCGATCGGGGAAAGGACGTGGGTTAACGATCGGGTCCAAAGATGATGCTCGTTTTAGCCAGAGGGAGCAGAGAGTAACTGGATGTCACCAGATCAGGGAAGTTACGCAAATCGAAGTCGTGGAGGAGGAGGAGGGTGAGGATAGCGACGATGACAGTGCTGCAGCACATAGCAGATCTCATGCTTCAGGTATGGAGGAATCCCCAAATCGAATTTCATCAGGTGTCGATAGAGGTTTTGGTGAGGACACTCCTTTCGAAGAGCAGAGACTGCTACCGCTCGTCTGCACCTATCAAAATGGGGTAGCTTATGTTATTGGCCTCGTGGACAGAGACGATTTCCTTATTCTTCCAACCACCGCTGTGGAGGGCATTCTGATGCAAGCTCCAATCATCGACAGAGTCAAGTACCTGTATGCGGACAAATTTTATTTTCGGCTCTTCCCATACTTTTTGCTTCCAAAGCTTAGGGTGGAGGTCGACGAAGTGAAGAGCGTGAGATACACGATTGTGTTCATTGACGCGCGATTTCCAGGAAATTCTTGGCAAGGCATCTCTTCAGTGGGGCTTGGCTTGTTTCCATTTGACGCACTGTCTCTGCCTTCGATTGACTTGCTGGCGAATGTCTTTGTCGAACACGACGTTTAAGGTTCCTTTTTAGTTGACCTCCATCCGAACATGCCGAAATCATGGAACCTCAATTCCCGTCTTTTCCATGATTGCCTGTCAATGGACTGGCCGGAGGGATTGGGCCCATCAGGGGAGGAGGTTGTGTCAGGTAGGGACTTGTACCCACAGCGAGTTGGAATCCAATCAGCTGTCCAGTTCCGCACAGCTGATGGGTAAGCTTCACATAGCAAGATGGAACGTACGTGGGCTTGGAGATATGAGGGGTAAGGAAAAGGGAAGAAGATTGAAAGGGTGAATGCACAAAAGGAGGGTGGATGTTATGTTAATCCAGGAGTCCAAGCTATCGGATCAGAAGCTTGCACAACTGACAGATTGGTGGGACGGGCCCCAGCTGTGGTCCCCTGCCAGAGGTTCTAAGGGAGGCGTGGCAATCCTATTTCATCGGAGGATAGAGGCTAAAATTGTGGACTCCGACTGTGATGTGTGGGGGAGATGGTGTTGGGTCAGGATCGAACTGGGTGATATGGAGTGGGCTTTTGCGTCTATCTATGCTCCAAATAGCCCCAGGGAGAGGGCTGAATTTTTTTATCTACTGCCCTATGTCCTCCCTAGTTGTGAACACCTGGTAGTCGGTGGCGATTGAAACGTAGTGATCAGCCCGGGGTTAGACTCAGAACGTGATGAAGGCATGTCAGTGGACAGAGCAAGACTCATCAGATGGATGAGAGCATGGGACCTAAGCGACGCCTTCAGATTGATCAACCCAACGGAGCAAGAGTTTACATGGGTGGGCACTTCCACACAGTTGGCAGGTATCAGAAGGCGGATCGACTTTTTCCTGACGTCGCACTCGGCCAGCAGCTCAGTTCAAACGGTTAAGATTGACAACGAGTCGTTGTCGGACCACAAGCCGGTGTTGATGACGTGTTCCACCAACGCAGTTACTGAGAGAGGACCAGGCTATTTCAGCTTGAACTCCCAACTGCTGCTGGATGAAGGAATACGACAGTGGGTGGAGGGTTTTTGGCAAGAATGGAGAGCAGCAGGATCGTGCTTCGGTTCAAAGGTGGAATGGATGGACGCTGACTTAAGAATAATTTCATTGAAATTGGATGTCTTCTCTCGTATAGTTGTCTTTCATCGTAACAGAGAGGAACATGCTTTGAGGTGGGATCTGGAGGTACCAGAGACGAAATTGGGAGAACACCTTGTCTCCGATCTGTTCTGGGCGGAGGAGAGAAAAGATAGCCTGCAAAAGTGGGAGGCCCTGCAAATCCAGAAACAGGAAAGGTGGACGCAGTATCTGCAGGTCAAGGGGATTGTTGCAGCGGATCGGATGTCCAAAGACACCTTCCAAAGGCTCCTCCCTAGGAGCATTGCGGTCCAAATGAGGGAATTGCAACATCCTCATTTGTTGAACCAGCCGGTGGCATCTTCCAATCAAGATATGTGTGAGTATGCGGCAGCATATTTCAAGGACATCTTGTCGACCAGGCGTATGTTTGACGACCTCGACACAGATATGTAAGACTTGTCACCGCTGTGGAATAACATGAAGACCCACATCTCAACGGAGGCCAAAATCTGGTTCGACCGCCCAATAGCGATGGAGGAGCTAGCATCCACAGTGAAGTGCATGGCAGGCGGCAAAGCTCCGGGGGAAGACGGGCTCCCGGTTGAGTTTTATGCAGCCTTCCTTCCGACCTTCTCGGCGGACCATGTAAACATGTTCAATGTCATTCTGCAGGGGAATAATCTTGGCAGAACAATGTCGAGGGGTGTGATATCTCTGTTGTTTAAGAAGGGGGATAGGAGTGAGGTTACTAATTGGAGGCCAATCTCCCTTCTGAACATTGTGTACAAGCTACTGGCTAAGACTTTGGCCAGTTGGCTTGCCAAGTTCCTTCCTAACTTGGTACAGAGAGATCAGGGAGCCTTCGTCCAGAAGAGATCAATATTCAAGAATATTCTTACAGCAATTGAGGCTCTCGAACTGGTGGACCGGGAGGACGCAAATGTGGCAGTTCTGCTTCTGGATGTGGAAAAGGCCTACGATAGAGTAAATTGGTCCTTTTTTCGCACTTCTTTGAGAGTGGTGGGCTTCGGAGAACAGTTCTGCAGGTGGGTTAAAGTCATGTATAGCTTATCTACGGCAGCGGTCTGTGTCAACAATCAAATTTCTGAGGAATTTCAGCTTACCCGCTCTCTGCGACAGGGCTGCCCGTTGGGCCCATTGCTGTTTGTGCTTCATTTGGAGCCACTACTTTGTAACATCCGTTGCCATCCTGAGATCACAGGTTTGGTGCTGCATATCGGTAGAGTAAGTCGAGTGAAGGCGTTGGCTGATGACCTGTTTGCCATTTCTCAGAACTCCAACAGATCCTTGGACGCGCTGAAGAGCTGCTTAGTTATGTTTGGGGAGCTATCAGAGGCGACTGTAAACTGGAATAAATCGGTTTTTTTCCTCCCTCGTTGCTATTCCTTAAGCGTGCAGTGGGCCATGGAGAGAGTTCCAGCAGGGACCGCAAAACGTTTCCAGGGAGTTCAAGTTGCCCTGGGGGACTGTTCTTCCTCTCAGGACTTGATCTTACAAGATAGAGTTTCGCAACGAGTTAAGGGATGGGTCAAAGCAGGCCACATCTCGATTATTAGGAGAGCGTTAGTCGTTATGGTTTCGGCCTTTGCTTTGCTGTAGTACGTGGCGACAATTCGGCGAATAACTCCCGGGATGCTCACGACGGTTAAAAGTGCAGCGAGGCGGTTCATCTGAAAACCGTACAGCAAAGCAGATCAAGGGTACATCTCAAAAGTGGCTTGGGATTCCATTTGCCTGCCCAGGGAGGATGGTGGCCTGGCGTTGATAGACCCGGCCCTTCAGAACACAGCGTTGTTGGCAAAATGGCTGATAAGGGTGGCCACGGGGGACCAGGAAGCAGATTGAATCTTGCTAGCGGAGGCCTTGTTGGCGGAAGATTGGGGACTGACCAGGCCAAGTGATGTGTGGGTAGCCATTATATATGAGACCTTCAACAGACGCCGTCCGAAGTCAAAATTCTGGCGAGACGTCCTCTTGGCGTGGAACAAGGCCAAACCAAATCTGCTATGCCCCCCTAAGACCAAGGCGGAAGTCAGGAGACAACCGCTGTTTGAGAATCAGTTGATCAAAGATGCTCCGGGTTTGAAAACGTTTTTTTTCGTTTTTTTTTTTTTTTTTTTTTTTTT